CTGTTCGGTCAATCGGCCACCTCGTTACCGAAGCTAGCAACATAACTAGCTAATCCCATTTTATCAAAACAATAAACTGTCATTTGGCGATAATTCCAATTTACAAACCCCACCTTTATCTGGTTCCCTTCTAACATCCAATTTGGACACAGCTTCATGAGATCGATCTTGAGCAAAGTATGGGACCCATATAAGCTATTAGTTAAGTTTGATATGGAACTCTCGTATATTTAGTTATTGTATCACCCTTACAACCGCATCTCCATTGTCCTCCTCTCCCTCCCCACCCGATCACTTCAAATGATTGAATTTGATTGGAGACCAATTTGGTCTCCAACTTTAACGAAACGGGCACGACGGAGACGTGTAGTGAAAGAAAAGTTTAGGTTTTTTCCAGGGTTCAGATAGAGATATACCCTGGGTAAGTAACTGAATCAGATAAGCAAGACAACCGACAATCGTTCAGGTACACTGAGTTCAAAGTTCACTAGGATAAACATACCGGTAGGCAGTGTCCTCTCGACGGACGTCGCACATAAGGTTGTGTTTTATGTGGCTCGTTTTCGTCATCTGCATTGCCTGTTAGTCAGTCCCGCCTGCGATAGGAATGGTTTCTATTTAGAGCTCGCTGGTATGGCCAGAAATTCAAACTACTGTTTCTCACTTCTCCTATGACCGTGTGAAAGGAAAAATGTACCTGGTGCACTATATTGTTTTGTATGACTTCGGCTCAGCACTTCGGTGGAATTGTCTTTTACTAGAGCTAAAAGCAACGGTACGCAAATGACAGCCATATTCCTCCCTGTGAAACTCATATACTCATATATACATCCACTCACTCGGACTCACATGAGCCGATGGCTTCAGTTTGCCTCGACTAATGCAGATACACTGGTCTGGGATAGTTGAGCTCTCCCACATGAACGCATTCGAGAAGGCTCACGTGTATGTGTGTGTGAACACACAGATATACACAGATATAAATGAGGATGACGATTATGTGGATGACGGTATGCCGGTGGTACGACTCAGTCAGATAGTACAATGTTGATAAGCTGTCTACTTGCAGCACTGCATCATCCTATCACCTTCTACCTCCACCCATTTACCGTCCACCCGTCCCCCCCCCCCGCTATCCTCAAACTCACGTCCTGATACACGTCCTCCATAGTGAACCGAATAAATGGAACAGACTGTTTTAGGCATACACTACTGTGACACTCATAGTCGGACGCGTCCGTAACCCTTAGCACTCCGACTTATACTACGGAACGTTTCGTTTAGTTTATCCTCGGAGCGCGCGTTCTATTTCCATTTGAGTGTGTTGCTGGACTGAGGGGAAAGGAGGGAGAAGTAGACCAAGATGACCGGACCGGCTGCTTGGATCTTTTGGTTTTGAACGACACGCGCACCATACTGCAAATGTTTGAGAGATCGATACAATGTATTTTTGACAGAGAAGCAAATTGTACTGGAATTTATAATTACTTCAACCTGTTGAGTAAATAATGTGAATAGTCTAAGTTAAAGATGGTTAGAGACCAATTTAATAATAAAAAGTTCAGACTTCATCAACAAAAGGTTAATTTTGGACAAACGAAGTTCAGAGGAAGGATAGGATTACTGAATAGATGTAGCAACTGTTTATTCAAGTGAATACATTTTCCCTCCAGCTGACGATCGTTTTTGTTTGAAATGTTACTATGAAAGGTTCACTACCCCCATCGGGATTGGAGCCCAGGCTCATGAGCCACCTACGCCTAGGGCTATGCTCTACCAGCTGAAACTCAAGAGCACACCGACAGCACTGATTCAATCGCCGAGGTATATGGACATGTCAGTTAGCACATAAGCTGTCTGCTCCGGCAGATGTGCTTTAGAATCCACCGATTGATTTGATACTGAGAGTAGGCAGCAGGTTTAAATTCCACCAAGGTTACATGACTTTTCGTAATATATAATATCAAACAACGACCAAAAACCGTATTTTATCCTTGCACGATTTCTTTCATGTGAACATATACTTGGCTCCGTCAGCGTATGCGTGCAGTTAACTATAGCTTTCATCCCAATGATTGCATTATTCATGTTCCCTTTTTCGGATTTAACTAAAACTTGACAGTATAAGTTGTGGCGGAACTTGTAATCGCTTAACTTCGGCCGTATAATCTATCGTATTTCAGACGAAACTTGCAATACCAAAGCTGATATCAGTTACACTCAAATCAGTGGTGGGGATGAGAACGTTCAATTGCATGACATAATAACACACCAAAGAACTGGCAGTTATATTCAAAACTTTATCAAAAGAGGCATATTTATTGGCACTATTCAATCGGTAATAATCGAGAATCGACCGTAATTATAACCTCAGCGATCATTATTGTGCTGTAGGCAGCAACAACGATACTAAGCAGACAAATTTGGGTTCTGTCTAAATGTGAACGCAACCTCCATCCGCCCATCTGGGGCACTACATAGCTTCGGTGCCCATAGTCTATAGAATGAGATAGATGGGAACCTGTGGACCAGTCCGAATTTGATGCACCTTTACCAGCCGCATCAATAACGCTATCATCACACCGTACAAGGACATTCGGGTCGACAGTTTTCACGCAGCTCAACAGCAATACGAGAGAGATAGAATGTATACGTTCACACGCAGACACGCACGCAGGTAGGCAAGCAGGCTGACACAAGCGCATGAGCCAAGGAGGGCACCGATCGAAAGATGATGATGCTGATCTGAGTTCGTGCGACAATCAGTGGCGCGTGGCAGCAACTTGCATCTGTATGGAAATGGCGGTCAGGCCGTGGCCATGACAACTGGTGTGGGATTGTAGTAGTCTGGCGTTCAGAGGTCAACCTTGAACGTTGTGCTACTTTGACTGTATGTATGTGTGTCCTGGTAGTCGTTCGTGGTCCTAATCACCCAGGTCGACTACCCGCATCCTGTCATCAGTACTGGTGAACCCCTATCCGCGTGGGTGTTAGACAGTGTAAGGCTAATGCATACACACACACACGTATATATACTCTCACACAGCGAGCGTGCAACGGAATACGAGGTCGCAAGCAGGCAATGAGCAAGCAAAACTGCCACAACTGGATATTTGACCTAATGGCTATTTGATCAAAATATATATGATAGCCGAATATTCGAAATAATAATAACAATAATAATAGTAGTAATAACGCTTGTAATGGTACCCCTGGTGTGGTTTCTTGTTTGCACTCTTTAGCTCTTAGAGTACTGCCATGCGAACAGCTCGCATTACTCACGATTTAGGATTTTTTTTA